GTGCTCGCACCCATCAGAGCACCCACCACCCTTTTCTGAATTTCCTGTTCACTTGTCTGTCTCATTTATCAGGTCTTTACTTACTGGGGATCTAAGTTTTAATTTTTGTAAACCTAACCCATGGTGTAGCCCCTGACATCCCCATTGAATAGATGCTCGATGAAGTTTGCTGAGTGAATGGATATGTGCTAAGTAGACTTTTGTTTTTGCAAGTGGCAGCTATTTTGTATGTATTCTAGGTGGGTTGAAGTGAAAGGGAGCACTTCCTGGCCCCATTTATAATTTCCACTACTATGGTCAGTTATTGAGAAGAAACACCATGTGGTTCTCTTTATTTGCTCTGGGGAGTTCAGTGGGAACCAGCCACTTCTCACCCACTAGCTTTCTGTGGTTGAAGAGTCTAGATCCCTAAATAGCCTCTTCTTTGTGCGCTGGGGTTCTAAACCTGGCATCCAAGTTTCCTTTCAGATCTAAAACTTTGTATTCATGTCCAACTCATGTGATGCCTGACCTCTTAAAGAGGACCTGAAAGGGAAGCCAGCTAGTCTCGTGTCTGATGCCTCACCCCGTCTCATGTCTCTTTGTACTCTGAATACTCTGCAACAGAGGTTGACATGGATGTTTTAATTACAACTGAGAGGGGGTGGGGATAAAAATTAACATTGTAAACACTGTTGCTAGCAGGGAGCTAGTCTACTATATGTGCATATGCCCCCGAGAAAGCCAAAGATGGGAGGCAGAACTCTGGATTGTCCCTCAGTTGGCCTCAGTTCTCGTCTATCTCTTAGAGTGTGTTGTCTTTGTACATTAACCTCAATTTCTAACTACTTCAAACAGTTGATTCTCAAATAGTGATGTGATCACGTTTCTGTGGGGAAACTGACTGTAATGGGCTTCCTGAGAGGTGGCACATGGGACCACAGCAAAGCTTCTTCCAAGGGGATTTTCTAAGGCTAATTTTGACTCTGCAATTTTCAGTTTTTGTGCTGATTCTTGACCTCTTAATTCAATGCAGATCCCCCGGCTTTTCCAGGCTTCCTGTGCATCCCGCCTCACAAGTCTTTCTCTTCCTTCTCTGACTCTGCTCACATTCAAGCCCACATTGCCTCTGCCTGGAAGTTTCCTCTGATCCTCCTCAGACTGCACATAATTTCCTACCCTTCTGTGCTAACAGAGCAGGCTTCTGTGCCTGAAATAAGAATCTGATTAGAAGAAGTGAAGTAGTGGCTTTGTAATTCAAACATTCCTGCTACATTTATTGCTTGACATTTTCCCATAAAACAGATCTTTCTGTCATAAATGGGTCTTTTTGCCCTGAAATACAGTTTTTACTGACAGGGAAGGATGAATACTTAATTACTTTGCTTTAATTACCGATTTGCAAAGGAAGATGTTGCTTTAATAACCACTGCAAATAGTGACAAATGAATTTTTCTTCCTAATTTTCTCTTTTTTGAGTATCCTTAGGGACTCATGGCTTTAGTAGGCCCAATGTGTTTCCATCCACTATAATCGTTACTCCTTTCGGTGCTCCAGTCATCACCATTTTGGGCAACATGAGCTCCTTCGAGCTGGTTCTTGTGTCCTTTTGACATACCCAATTACTATTTGAAAGCTTCTTTGCTCTTGAACATGACAACATGTTCTAGGCTCACCTTGTACCTTCTCTGATCTAGTCCCCAAAGCAGCCAGTTCTCCAAGAAATTCTGATTTTTATACAGCAAAACCTGAGTGGTTGGAGTGGTTATTAGTACCGGGGTGACATTGTTACTAGGTCCTTTCAATGGACTAAGATGGATAATATACGACTAATAAAACCGTATGTTCATTTAACTATTTTGATTTCAATTTCAACATTAGTTTTATACTTGTTGATTTTATAGTTGAATCTTTTATTCTCTTTGACCATCATTAATACAATTCCTCATTTCTTTATTGTACAATATAAAGAAAATAAGATTTTTATTACTAACATAAAATAGTCAGGTTTAATTTAAATTTCTTTGTAGTTCTTTTTGTCCATGAAGCATATCCCACTAAGAATGTTCAATCAAGTACTGTGGTCAAAGCATCTTGGGGGAAAAAATAATCGTTTTTCTGTGTGGTTATGTTACTAAATTGATTATGGTTAGACTTATTTGTCTTGGTTTATTTTCGATTTTAGAAATGTTTAAAAAAGTAGCTTTATTTTTAATAGGTAATGAACTTACTTTATTCAAAGGGCATAACATCATAGAAAGGTATATACAAGGACGTTTTCTTCCATCTCTTTCTCCTCCATACATTCCTTAAAGCCCTTCTTGTAAGGTGATCACTTTTATTAGTTTCTTGTTTACATTTCCTAAGTTCTTTTTTTGTTCTGTTTTTTTGCAAATATATGAAACATACAGAGATTCTTATTTTCGTCACTTAGACAAAAGGTAGCATGTTATAACTGTTCTACACTTTCATGTTTTCACTTGGCAATATGCCCTGGTGAGCTCTCCATATTACTATACCAAGATTGTCCTTCTTCTTTATGGCCGCATGGTACTCCACTGTGCAGATGTACCATGGCTTATTTAACTGCTCCCTATTGCTGGACACTTCAGTTGTTCTTGATGTTTTGACTTACAAATAATGCTACCATTAATGACCTTACACATATGTCATTTCATGCTTTTTCAGGTGTTTCTGTAGGGTAGATTTCTAGAAGTAGAATTAATGGGTCAAAGAGTGAATAAATTGGAACTTTGGTAGATACGGCCAAAACCCATGGGAGTTTTATCTCTATGAAATATTAGCCCCCTAAACTGATTCAAAGTGAAAGAATAAATGAATTTATTTTAAAAATACATGAAAACAGGCATTTTAATTTCTTTTTTAATACCAGGTTGCTTTAAGAAATTTAATCTACCAAAATTCCTCTTCTAAAAAGCAAAACAAAACAAAAACAAAAGTAAACACATCAACACCCAGATAGCTCACACTCTCATGTAATCGTTGAGCTAAGTAAACCCAATGTGAATGAGTGGCAGCCCTGGTTCAAATGGCCCACCGTGGTTAACTCTGAAATGCCTTAGTACTTTTCCACTCTGTACCAGCTATGTTCTGTACCAGCCCTGTTCCAGGGCTGTAGGAGGTGCTAGGGATGTAGGCGTGAGTTTGCCCTCCTGAGCTTACAGTCTAGTTGGGTTGCTGAGGTAGACTTTATACATCCAATGACCCAATTAATAGGTTAATTGTTGTTGTGATAAGGCCTGCAAGAAGAAATGAAGGCTAAGATAAATGCATGTAACAGGAGGACATGTCCTTGCCTCGGAGTGGGGTAAAGCTTTTCTGTTTGACATCTGTGCTGAGACCTGAAAGACAAATGATGATAAGCGAGAGAAGTGGTGAGAGGTGGAGAGAAGGAGCAAGAGAGCCATTCAGAAAGAGGAAACAAAATTTGTAGATTCTGAGGTCAGGAAAGAGGTTTTTGCAAGCAACGACGAGAAGGTCAATGTAGCTGGAGCACAGAGACTGGGGTGAGAGGTGTGTGTTGCTGCCCAGGAGATAGGCAAGAGTTAGTTCTTTCATCAGCTCTAGGTAGGTACCACATTTTCTGAATCTTTTGCTTTCCCCACAGTGTCTAGAACATAGCTGGTACAGAGTGGAAAAGTACTAAGGCATTTCAGAGTTAACCACGGTGGGCCATTTGAACACCCATTTCTTGGGTTGAGACTTGGATTTGTGATGTCTTAAATTAGAATGGGATCATTAGAGGACTTTGCTGTCCAAGAAGTGTTTTTCTTCAACCACCATCCAAAGACAGCCTACAAACAAATATGCAGACAAACCCTCTTCCATTTGAAGAGTGCTAGAGCTGGAAGACCTCACCTGCTGTGATATCTGTAATATTTGTTTAGTTTGTGAAGCACCAGGAAGTTATGGTGCATCCCAACCACGACCACGACCTTTCCCTGCATTGTCCCATTTCATCCTCACAACAGCTCTAGGAGGTAAATACTAAGTAGGTGAACTTTGTCTTTCTGTGTCCTTGGCAAGATGGAGGCTCCCCATTGTTTGGGGTAATGAGTCCAATTATTGCCTTATTCTCTTTCTCCCTGGAGAAAACAGTTCCCCAGGAAAGGGACCAAAACAAACAAGAAAACCATTCTGGTTAAGGTGTGATGGTCTGGTAACAATCTAGGGAGGATTATCTCTACCAGAAGGTCTGTACTTTGATGATTTAATACTACCACCACCACCACCATCACTACTGCTACAGGAAGACAAGTAACATTTACTGAGTGCTTCCAATACATATGGGACACCATGTTAAGCATTTTACATGGATTAAATCATTTAATATTCACAACCATCCTAAAAGGTAAGAATTGTTATTATTCCCATATAGAGAGAAAGGAACTTGGCCACAACAAGGCTGAATAATGCCAGGCACGGTCCTAAGCACTTTCCCTACAATAACTTATTTAACACTTACAACAACAACAGGAGTTGAGGACTACTGCTGTCTCTGTGTTACAGATGAAAGAACTGGGTCTCATGGTTCATAAGCTACAGGGCTGGCATTTGGACTCAGACCACTCTAACCACAGTCTTGGCCTTCACAGTGCTAGCGCCACAGACATTGTGGGATGGAGGAAAGTTAAACTTGTCTCTTTGTTCCAATGTGTGATTGCCTGAGGTCTGGTCACCTCATTGCTCTGAGCTCAGTGTCTTCACTAAGGGCTTCGGTGCTTGCTACCTGGCTGGTTTGTTCTGATGATCAATGGAGATAAAGCGAAAGTGTGGTCGAGCGTTTAAGAGGTTCTGTGCTGAGTTCAGTCCTAGCTCTGGCATTTACTATCTGTGTGACCTCATCCGAACATGTGGAACTCTCTGGACTCTACTTGCTCATTTTTTCTGACACTCCAGAGATGTCAGCAACACTCCATGAAGCAATAGTTAACAGCTGACAACTACTCTTTGCTCTCTCTGTGGTCTCACTTACTTTTCATGCCTATTTTATGAAATAGGTACTACTATGATATCCACCTGACAGATGAGACTGCTGAGGATGGAGAAATTTCAGAATCTTGCCAAGCCTCTCTCCTAATATGTACAGGAGCCAGGATTTGAACCCAGACACATTGACCTCTTACCTGCCCCACAAAGACCGACATCTTTGAAAGCAGACAACGCCAGGTTTGAATCCCAGCTTTGCCACATCTCAGATGCAGGTCAGAACAAGTTACTTAACCTCTCTGAACCTCTGTTTACATATGTGTAAAATAGCGGTCCCTGGGAGGCTTGACAGAGATGGTATGCAAAGGCCTCAGCTTAGAGCCTGGTGTATAAATCAGCTGGTAACAAATGTTAGATCCCTTCCAGGGGGCATGTTGGCAAGATAAATTGCTCCCTGAAGCCTGACACAAGGAGAGCTGCCTACCTCAGTCCACCAAACGAGACTTCAAGGAATTAAGTCGGGCAGCTTTAATTGATCATCTTGTAATTTCCACAACTGGATGCATATTAGCGACACTATATCATAGACTAATTACATTCATCACTCCACAGGGCCTGAGGAATACATTGTTCTATCTTTGCTATTAGAATGGGGTTGGTATAATTAAAACCAAAGAGTTCTGCAAACAGCCTGTGGTGCTCTAATTCCAGCAGGCTCTATTTGATCAGAACAATTGCCTATGCTCCTACAGAGTGTGTTACTTTTGGATAGAATTCTCTGCTTAATGCACCATAGGATTGCACTATTGACTGAAGGTGATGGGAGACTAGTCAGGGAGAGTGTAGCAGTTTACTAGGAGCTCGGTGCTTACTGTTTTCAGGGCTAGTTATGTCAGTTTTTATTCTTGCTGTTTAAATAAAGCCTTAATAGGTAGGAGACAGTTGTTCTATCTCTTCCCAATTGACTTGGACACACATACATTTCTTCATTCATTCGACATTGGTTTACTGGGGCTTCAGACTAGCCAGGCACTATACTAGGTACTGGGCGATACAGTGATAATGCTTAAGAGCTGATTCTTGATGTCTAGGGAAAAAAGATCCCAGAATGTGGGAGGTTAAGAATAATTCAGTGAGTCACAATGTTACCAGAAACTTGAAATTAAAAGTTCATATAATTTGTGGCCCAATGGAAAAGGTCCTAGGAGGATGGAGTTAGCCTGACATGGGATGAAGTTCTTACTCCTCCATTTTTTAGTGGTGTGCCCTTGGGCAAGTCATAACTTTGTTGAGCTCCAGGTGCCTCAGTAGTAGGATTGGGATGACAATGTCTGCTTCCTAGGGTTGTTGTGAAGATCTAAGGAGATAAAGTATAGAAAACGCAAATGTTAATTTTGCAACTTACATGTTTGCTTCTATTAGTATCTATTAATTGGGTGATGCTGGGTAAGTTACTTAATCTCGGAGGAAAGTTACTTAAGTTTGGAGTAAGACATACCATTTATTTAACTTTTACCATGTAAAAAGTACTGTCCTAAACATGGCGTGAATTATCTAATTTAGTTCTCGTAATAAGAAAAATATGAAATAATATGAGTTTAAAGACTATTTTTCAGATAGACTATTTTTCAGTTTCAGAAAAACTGAGATACAGAAGCTAAGTGATTTTCCTAATATGACATGGTTAATAGGTGGCAAAGCCAGGGTTTGGACTCTGGCAGCTGGCTCCAGAGGGCTTGGTCTTAACCACTGTGCTGTACTCTGCCTGCTGTGTAATGAGAATGGAGTACATAAGGCCCCTTGCGTTGGTCTGGTGTTTCAGAAAAAAACTTATATCATCTGACTCATTAGGAAAGCCATGGTAAGTATTATGGTCTCCATTTGACAGATATGGAAACTGATGTTCAAAAAGTTAACTGATTTGCTCAAAGTGACAAAAGTAATGTACCATAGAGCATGACATGTATTTTATTTTATTTTTATTTTAGCAAATTGAAATATTACATACATTATTTGATATATTGCATTTTCACTTGACTTTAGTTGTGGTAATTTGAGCACATCAGGAAGTAATTTAAAAAACCCATGATTCATATAAGCTACATAATGTTGTATCTTATGGATACATCTTACGTTTTAAACCACTTACCTATCTTTGGACTTTTGGGTCTTCACTTGTTTGGGAAAAGTGTGTTACTTTCATTCTTATTAACATCCTTTTGCACAAACTTAGATCTTTGTCTGGATTAATGATTGGTTCCTTAGAACAGATTAATTCCTAGCAGTGGAGCAACTGGGTCAAAGGTTGTGAACTCTTCGTGACTGACTATTATTAAATTGCTCTCCAAGATATAGTAACTACTTCATGAATATTTGTTGAAGGTTGAATGAAAGAGAAAGACATTTATCCCATCAGTATAGGAAATCTCTTCTGTATCAGTTTGAGTTTGGTCAAGAAACAGAACCACTCACTACAAGTTTTTTAGGGAAAAGAGTTAAATATAAGAATTAGAGTTTGCATGAGTATGAGAAGAGTGGGGAAGCGAAGGTCTGGCCGGTTGCCACCAAAGATGGGAAAAACCATCCCTAAGGACCTCAACCTGAAGCACTGGAGCTGGTGGAGAAGTTGGAGCTTGCGGAAATGTCCCAGAAGCCACCACACACAAACGGTCGCCATGACTGCAAAGTGGAAACTCATGGAAAGGTCTAAAAAGTCACCACCTCTGGTCAGGAGGATCTCTGGTCCTTCTGCTTCTCTTCTACCTTTCAAATCCGCCGTGAGTTCTTCCCTTCGGCAAACTCTAACTCTGAACCACATACAGGGAGATGATTCTAGGAAATGCAATTCATGCCTTAGAAGTGAGTAATGGTGGTGCTCAGCTGACAGCTGACTATCCACCACGCCTCGTTATATACCCAGCAGAATGATTCTTTGCCAGTGTGAAAGGGGAGAAGTGATAATCTTATTTTAATGTGCATTTTCAAAATTGAGAGTGTGACTTTTTTTTTTTCATGTACTTATTGGTCACCTATTTGTTCAACATATATTCCTGAGCACCTGGTATAAATCAGAGCTCTGGGCTTTGGGGAAACCCTGGTGAATAAGGCAGGTGAAGTCTCTGCCTTTGTGAAGCTTACTTTCCAGGGCTGGGAGACGAGAAAAAGGAACAAAGAGAGGAACGAGATAATTTCAGATAGTAATAAATATTATAGGGAAAAACTGTGGATGGTTTTGAAATGGGCAAAAGAGATAAGTGAATATTCTGGCAATGGCTCTGGACTCTCCGGTAGTGATTTGATTCCATAGGGATGTGGGTCTTGGTCTTTGACTTGGCCGTTTTACAATTCTGTAGAGATACAAGTTAACTTGTAGAAAACTGTTAGTCGTGCAATTAATTCCTGTCCACAAAAATGCAAGCTATGTCTGGTGGAATGCAATTATCACCCTGTCGATACTGAGGATTTTTGCCAGTTTTCCATCCACTTGCAAATTCATTTCAGCATTCCTTAGCTGAATCCATGTGTGGTACTTGGAGTTCTCTGCTGAACAGGTTGTAACATCTCACTGGTTGCCTCATTAATGATGGAGCTAAATAAAACCTTTGATATGTGTTCATTTTATATGTGTATGACACTCATGATTATATCTTCTATTAAAATGTCTAACCATTTGGAACAATCAAATGAAGGAGATAATTTCAAACAGTAAAAAACATCATCAAGAAAGCAAGATAGGTGTTGTTCCAGAAGGTGACTGAGAGGTGGGTGGGGAGATGCTAATTTGGATTAGGTGGTCAATAAAGGCCTCCCTGAGGAGGTGGCATCTGAGCTGAGACTTGAGTGGATAAAGGAGATGCTCAAGTGCGGACAGGAGGGCAGAGTGTTCCAGGCAAAGGGAATAGCTTGTACAAATGTCCTGAGACAGGGATAAGCTGTTATATTCTAGAGATCAATTGCAGTGAGTAAGGAGGCGAAATGCAGTAGGTGTGATCAATGACATTGGCAGGGGCCGGGTGATATTGGGCCTTTTAGGCTATGATGAAGAATTAGGATTTTATTCTAAGTGCTGTGAGAAACTATTGTGGTTTTACACAGTGAAGTGTCATCATCTGATTCATATTATAGAATGGATTTGTATATCTTCTAGGAGTGTTCCGTTCTCATTTTCCTCCTCAAATTATTATTATTATTAAACCTGACATTTTAATTAGCTTATCAAGTCTTATCAAGAATAAAAATCTAGTATTATTTTGATTAATAATGGTAAACAAATATAATCATGAAAGTAATGCATAACAAATGGAGAAACATTTGCTGAATAAAAAATATGCAAGAGGAAATAAAATAATATTTAGCTTTTGGAAATACGGACCATCGCTCATGTAGTATTTTTAGTTTTTAGAGTATCTTAGGGTTCTGGCTACCTCGAACCAGGCGAGATAACTTACATGGTGTCTTCTAAGGTGATGGATCTATAAATATTTATTGATTGACTGAATTTCCCTGTGGCGTCTGCTCACTGGGCAGCAGCAGCTGAGAGGCACTGCCTGCACCAGCAGGTTCCAGGGACGCCTGAGGCTTTCACCCCAAACCCAGTTCATTTCAGGTCACACATCTGCTCTTCCTTCCTCTGAAAGACACCCCCTGGAAGGCAATTCCGTCCCGGCAGTCCCAGGGGGTAGGTGGTGATCTTTCCCCCACCTCCTAACAAGGAACACATCTGGGAAGAAACTAACCAGTGGAAAGAAAGCTCATACAAAGAAAGCAGGAGGAAATTCAGTGGAAGTGCCCACAGGCCAGCAGGAAATGGGCATTTCTTCCAGGCTTGCTGTGAAATAAAGGTCTATTCTTTACTGAAGGATTGCTATTTAAGTCAACGGAATTAGGTGCCCCTCAGATTGAGACATGAGCTTAGAGAAAGGCCTCCTTTTTGGATGAACACTGCCCTCATCTTACCATGGATGAGAACAGACAATGGAAAAGGGACTGACACTCTCACAATGGGGTCTCTGGAGTCCAAATTTCTATTGATGACTATGACAGGACATAGTTTGAGGGGGCATTTCTCTGGATGATCTTTCTTTGTCTGTAGAGGGAAGACTTTTCAAATAAAGGGAAGACTTTAATGCTGAAGGGACTTGGGGATCACTGAATTGTAACTGAAAATGACCAGACCTTATGGTCAGGATTGGACCATAATTATGAAAAGCTGTGACTTAGCTATTTTAACCTAGGGGTTAAGAGGCTAGGATTTGGAGTCAGGCAGATCTCAGTT